AAAGAAAGAAAGAAAGAAAAAATTAATCAGCGATCTTTTTCCTTTGTATATTTGAGCTTCTTTGCTTTGTTGGGGATGAGCAGTTTACTTTCCCAAATGTTTGAGCCGAACAAAACTGTGGTCCCTAGCATCTGGGGCAGTTAGGAGGTGTTACTTCAAGGGAACAAAATCCCAAACAGTATTTAACATTGTTCATTTTGGAAATTCTAGCTGAGACAACTTACAACTGTGTGCTGAAGATATTAAGACCCTTCCTAGGATTTCATCAAGCATCAGTCCAATATATTCAAGACTAAAGTACTGGTAAATTCTGACTTTGTAAAATAATAGTTAATGTCCAATGCAAACAGCAAGAGTCTGGAAAATGGACTGGAACAAAAGAAAATGTTAAGTATTTAACAAGCTCTGTTTCGGGAAGAGAGCTGTAACTCTTGGGTGTGTGTCTGTGTGTGTGTGTGTGTGTGTGTGTGTGTGTGTGTGTCCCACTCTTCCTTTTCCTTTTTGCTGCATCCCGGCTACAAGCCTACTGATTGGTGTCACCCGTTCCCAGGGTGGGACTTCCATTATCCTCGCCCAGAACTGTCCTAAACTCATTTAGTTACTGATCTCAGCGTTTCAGAAGGTGCCTCTAGGTCACTGGTTTACAGAGGTCCACATCTCATCTACCTGGAGCACTTGCTTAAAACATTGCTGGCGGGGCTGGGGATTTAGCTCAGCAGCACAGCGCCTGCCTGGCAAGCGTGAGGTCGTGAGTTCGATTCCCAGTACCAGGAAAAAAAAAAAAAAAAAACCACAAACATTGCTGGCCATTGTTTCTAGGTCTGAGGCAGGAGAAGGTGGGTGATTAGAATTTGCACTTCAAACTCCCTCCCACGGATGCTGGGAGGGAGTTTATCACCTCCCAAAACTCTTTATCACCTCCCAAAACTACCTACCATTTTCATGCTGATTTCATTTATTTGGTACAGGGAATCGAACTCAGGACCTTGTGCTTGCCAGAAAGGTGCTACACTGCTGAGCTATATCCCTGGTCCCTTTAAGCTGATTTTTAAAGTATTTAAAAATTAAACACTTTGCACTACCTACAATGTAGTTGTCTGCACAGACTAGCCCAGGTGTCATGCCAGGTATGGTGCTGATATAAAATTACCCACATCCAGATGGGCATGGTGGCACACGCCTGTAATCCCAGCACTTGGGAGGCTGAGGCAGGAGGATCGTTGTGAGTTTGAGACCAGCCTGGGCTACAAAGTGAGCTCATGGCTGACCTGAACTGCACAGTGAGACCCTATCTCAAAAAGACCAAAAAAAAAAAAAAAAAAAAAAAAAAAAAAAAAAATACCCACATCCTTAATAATTAAATCTTTTTTTGTTTTGTTTTGTGTTTTGTTTTTGGTTTTTTTCCGGTACTGGAAATCGAACTCTCGACCTCGCGCTTGCCAGGCAGGCGCTGTGTTGCTGAGCTAAATCCCCAGCCCCTAATCATTTTTTATTAATCAGCTCTCTAGGCTTGGCGACCTCTGGATGAACAGTTGTGAACTGCGAATGCTTGGATCTTTTACACTAAGGCGAAGACCCTGGACTAACGCTAGGGCTCGGAAGCAGCCTGCCACCAGCCTGTGCTGCTGTGGGTGTGTCAGAGGCTCAGGGCCACCAGTCTCAGCTCAAATGACCCACAGTGGGGTCAGGACACTCAGGGGCTCTTGTCCCCCGAAAAGGCAGGGGCAGCTGAGAGCTTCCTGGAGCTGCCTGGAGAGCTTCCTACATCCAGGCAGGTCACTGAGGTCAGGAAGCGGACACACACAGAATGATAAAGAAGTCAGCAGGGAGTGAGTGAGAGTGAACCGGTGATGGAAGTGGAGCCAAGTCCCCCTCCGGGGTGGAGCACCCCCTGGGGCAGGGAGCACTGTGTCTGTGAGCATCACCCTGGAGGAGCTGCTGTCTGTGCCCTCCCGGAATGTCTCCTGCTCCGGTCATGTCACCTCCATGTAGAATGTCCGTGCCACCCTCAACGGACAGTTTAAAGACCTCTGTCAAGGGGAGGAAGAGGGGAATAGAAGGCAGTGAACAGATCCCTTGGCACAGCTGCACGGGAGGAGTAAGTTCTGATGTGTCCCATGTTCTATAAGGAAATGCAGTCAAATGTGAAGAGATGGAAATGCTGACCACCCTGACTTGGTTGTTACACGTTAGTCACATAGATGAAACTATCACATGTACCTCATAGCATACAGTGTCATTTCTCATAGTCTTCCCAATGTCCCTTGTCTAAAATAACTGCTGAATTTTATAGCTCTTTAGGCTTACTTAAGACATAGCCTTTTCTACCTTGTCTTAGCTCCACTTAACACACTTACAAGATCTCTTACCCATGTCCTTCCCATGTGAGATTGCACACACTAAGAATATTGTTCTAGTCTAGGAAAAAGCCATGCAAAAGTAGAGGAGAGGAAGAAACCTGTTTTTTAGTCTTTTTGAGACAAGGTCTTGTTATGTAGTCCAGGCTGGCCCTGAACTCACTATGTAGCCCAGCTTGGCTTCAAACTCACAGTGATCCTCCTGCCTCAGCCTCCCAGTGCACTGAGATTACAGATGCACACCACCCCCATGAGGACCTTAGCTGTGGCGGCAGGAAGGGGGCACGTGTCACCGCTGTTGCACATGTGATTTAGGTCTCACTGAATCTCCCTGCGCTTGACAGCCTATCTCCTGTCTCCTCAGCTCATCCAGGGCAGGCTTTCCCCAAAGGTCAGCAGCGGCACACGGGAGACCCATGCACTGGCTCTCCTGCGCCAGGGCCTGTGTGCAGTCACCAAGTTCCAACGCTGGGATGGGGTGGCCGGAGCACTGGGCTGATGGAGACCACACTGCGGGTGACAGGGACTCGGAATGCAGCCCGGACTCAATGCCAGGTGCGTAAGGGCAGCCCTCAGGCAAGCTCTGATGGACCTCTGAAGGACAATGGTCAGGCTCCTGCCCTGGCTCTGTTACCATCCTTCCCGGGTTTCCTCCTGAGCCTCCGTAAACCAGAGAGCTCATACTGCACAGCACTGGATGGGGACTCGTTTTTACATAAAAAAACCTAAAACCACGCCTGGCACACAAGTGCTCGGGAAATGGCACCCACGGCCCAACTGCTTAACACAATTACGTCCCTGTTTCAAGGAAGTTAGCTTTGCCGGAGAACCTGGGCTGTAGCTTGTATCTTGTCCCCCGCCCACCCCCCAATTCCAGGCAGGAGGCTGGCCGCATTACACCGCTCAACACCTGGGAGGTGATCATGAGAAGGGCAGAGAAGGTGACGTACTGCAAAGGCTACCTGTGTGTCTAAGCCAACCTTTTTATCTTTTGGAGCATGGTCTTGTTTATTCCAAGCTGACTTGAACTCACTATGTAACTCAGGCTGGCCTCAATACACAGTGATCCTGTCTCAGCCTCCCTGGAGCTGGGATCCAGGCGCACCCAACATTTCTAACAGCTGCCTAGAACTCCTGGGCTACCTCACCTACTACATACTTCACCACCATTAGCCCCTGATGGGGTCAGCTCTCCCCGCCCCCGCAGGGCCGGGCTGGTCCCATCCAGGCCCCTTCTCGTCTGTCCTACTCCTAAGTGCGGGTCAGCCTGCACTGCCCGCCGTCACCCCTCCAGAGTGGGTCCTATGATGGATGACATGCAAAGCATCTCCCAGGGAATGGATCACGAGGGTTCTAACTTCAATGTGATAAACCCATTCATGAGTCAGCTGAGAGGCCACGTCCTTCCCAGCACACTCCTCCCTGACTTCCTGCTGCTCCCTGGCTTCCGAGGTGCCCAGCTTTTCTCTGCCCTGCTTTTCCTCTGTGTTATTTCCGTGTCCGAGCCAGCTGACTACAGACCTCTGAAACTGTGAGTCCAAATATACCTTTCCTTTTTTATGTAACTGACCAGTTACGTACGAAAAGCACTTCTTGGAAACTGGATGGGCAGAGAAGACGCCGCTGGACTTGTCGGAGCGCAAGGCGCACCCGCTTTCCTGCCCAAGTGGGCAGCGCGGTGGTGGTGGTGGCGTTTGAGCAGTTTGCGGTGGAGTGGCTGAGTCGAGGATCGAACCCTAAGATCTACGAAGGCGCCGCCAGAAAACTCAATCTAGTGACACCGGCCAGCAGGGCGACTTATCTTTGCACTGAGAGCTCGAAGCTTATGATACCTGAACTGGATTTTGAGACTCTGTTTTTGTTTCGGGATTCTCTGAAGAATTAGACAAATTATTGCTTCAGCTTTATCTGGACGAAGAAAGGTCAGAACTATTCTAACTGAACTGGCACCTGACATTCCCACTTACCGTGGCCTTGAATGGCGACCAGATGTGCAGCTGGCACGCGTAAGTCTCCAGTAACAGATGAAACCAGCGGTGACTTTCAGGCGGCACCTTCACCACAGTGGAGATCAGAACACCAAAGTCCTGCAGACAGACCCAGCCACCTTGCTTCATTTAACTGGAGCAAGCATTGGAGAGGAAAACAAACCACTGCAGGAGAGCAGTCCGCACCATCAAGTAGCACCTGCTATAAGATTTTAACCCTTTAAATCACTTGTAAGCCGGTGATACACAGGAATTACTTTTCAAAGTTATTTTTTGTTAATTGATGGTGGTAATTATCTAGATTGCACCTTTTACTGTTCCAGGATATTGAGGTCATGATCAGAAGCTAAAGTACAGTTTATTTCCTGGTGCTAAATGTAGTTAGCCTGACAGATTGAAACGTACTTTGTATTTTTTTTTTTTTTTCTGGTACCGGGAGTCAAACTCAAGACCTTGCCCTTGCCAGGCAGGCGCTGTGCCACTGAGCTAAATCCCCAGCCCCCGTACTTTGTATTTTAAATGTGTGAGTAGGATTGAATTTGCTCATACTGAACCTATACTGTTCATATCTTGTGTACATATGAAGGGCTACCCTGTTTTCGGTACCTGTCTGCCTTATTATTTTCATCCTTACTGATCAAACTTTGAAAATAAAATTTACAGTAACACTAAAAAATAGAAAAGCACTTCTCCTTTCCACCCCCACCCTAGAAAACTGATCTTGACAACAGAAAAGCATCCAACATGAACCCAGGTTTCGCTATTAAGTTTTATTCTAGGCAACTGCAGATCACCTAAGGGGTGGTTCACATCCGGCCCAAGACCCCGCCCGGCTCCCAACAGAGAGGCTCACTTTGCATTCCTGACCCAGGGTCTGGTGCGTCGCCATCCTCACTGGGGCGGGGTCTGCGAAGCGTGACCGAGCAACCTCAGAGTGACCAGCGCAGCAGGAACAAACTCACTGCTGGCACGAGCTGACCGACCTCAGGTGACCAGCAATCCCCCGACCCCGGAGGCTGCAGACGCAGCTCAGTGGGGCTGGAGGGGCCTTTCAGGGCACAGACACGCCCAGAACCAGAACCCCACTGGGCTCCTTCCCAGGACCCTTTCTTCAGCAGGGGCCTCAGGTCCCCCTCCCACTCTCTCCCTCCTGGTCCTCTGCAGACAGTGGCGGCAGGGCTGGGAGGCTGGCTGCGTCTCTGCTCCCTGGCCCCCGCGCGTGTGGGGGAGCTAAAAGCCCCATAAACTACTCCCTCCTAGAGGGCAGGCCCAGTCCCATAGCTAGGAACAACTTCTACCACTTCTGAAATTTAGAAAACAAGTGTTATATTTTTTAAATCAACTAGAATCTAACTTCAAAAAAAGTCTTCTGAGTGGGGTAAGACGCTCACTGAAATCACTCCTACGTGTTATTAACACAGACTACAGAAGAGGACGTGGAGGGCGAGACCCCAGAAACTCATCCTCGCCCTCATGCACGCAGCTGCGCACCGCTGGGGCTGCCGCACCTGTGCAGCGGGAACGGCAGGGGCTGGCCCTGGAACTGGCGTCTGGCCCTACAGGCCGACCCAGCCCTGAGTACCGGAGGATGGGAAAACCAGAGGCCCGGGGGGCCAGAGCCAGCAGTCTGGTGGGCAGGCCAAGGCACAGCAGAGGCAGGTGCCGGCCCCTCCTCCTCCGCCTGGTTTCAGGACAGCCTGGCGCTCGGCCCGGCACTCGGGCGAGGCAAGGTGGACCAGAAGCAGTCAGTCCCCTGGCTCCATACAGTGTTTCGGGGGCACTAACGCTGCCCCCCTCCGCCCCCGAAGGAGAGGGGCTGCGCCCTACAGCCGGCCGCTGGGCCTCGCAGGCTCGGGGCCCGGCCCGCCGCGCTCCCGCTGGTGGATCTTCTGGTGCTGCAGCAGGTGCTGCTTCTGGACGAAGCTCTTGTCGCACTCCGGGCAGCTGTAGGGCCGCTCGCCCGTGTGGATGCGCTGGTGCCGCACCAGGTCGGACGGGTGGCTGAAGCTCTTGCCGCAGTAGCCGCAGATGAGGGAGCTCCGGCTCTTCCGCCAGGGGATGTGGCCGGGCAGTGCCACCAGGCTGTTAGGTGAGAACCTCTCCTGGATGCGAGGGCCAGTGCTGGGCCCCTCCTGCAGGTGGCAGCGCTGGTGCGTCACCAGGCTAACCCTGCAGCTGAAGCTCCTCTGGCACACGTTGCAATGGTGCAGTTTGGCCCTCTTCGCCTGAGGCTTTAGCAGCGGCCTGGGCCTGAGGCTTTCCTCAGGCTCTGCGGCAGGGTAGGACGCCCACCCCGAGTGGCTCCGCAGATGCGCAGCCAGCTGCTGCTTGTAGCAGAAGCTAGTACCGCACTCAGAACACGTGTAAGGGCCAGAAGGGTCCCTCGTCAGTTTCAGGGCCTGTCCGCATTCCTGACCCTCCTGCGCCTGTCTGTGGGACTTCTGCTTTGGGGAGCAGCCCAGAGTTCCTCCAGTGGTAGGGTCACTGCTGCATTCGAGAGGGGCCTCGAGGCTAGAATCCCCGGGACCTGGTTCCAAGAGGGCAGAACCCCCCTGCCCATCCCAGAGCTCGGTCTGCACCGGGCCCAGGAAATCCGGCTCCTCAGCCGCACCTGGGAACATGCCGCCCTCTGGCTGGCTAGGCACCTCCGGTCTGAGCGCAGCCTCATCTGCAAATGAGACAAGAGAACGTCACACTCCAGCACCTCTGGCAGCTCCACCCAACAAACATCTGAACGTTCTGGAAGGGCTCAAATCAAGGCTCCAAGGAACACAGGAACTAGCACAATCTGAACACAGAAGAGTAACTAGGCTCCAAGACTGGTAAAAACCTAAACTTATATTCAGGTCAGACATGTGGGCTGAAAACTCTTTTTTTTTAAGATTTTTGTTTTTGTCTTTTTGAGACAGGGTCTCGCTATGCAGTTCAGACTGGCCTTGAGCTCACTTTGTAGCCCAGGCTGGCCTCGAACTCACAACGATCCTCCTGCCTCAGCCTTCCAAGTGGTGCGATTACAGGTGTGCGCCACCATGCCTGGCTGGGCTGAAAACTCTTAAAAGAACAACTCTACAAACATAGTTCTCCAAACTCAACCTTAATCTCTGCACAAAATTTCAAAATGCACCGTAACAACCTAATTTAGGAAAGTGTTAAAATGACCAATTGGAATGATTAAAGAAAAAACACGGCAAACCTACCAACCCTCACACCTGGCTCTTCCCGAGTCCGGCCCAGTGCCCACCTCCAATGCCTTTCTTTCCTGCAGCTCCTCGGCCCCCGCTCTGCCCGCCTCTCCACCTCACCCCCCTCTGACCACACTGTCACATCCTCCATGCTGCAGGACGTGAAGAAGTGATCACTGGTTTTGTGACCCCACAAGGTGGCAGCTCAGGCGCACACGTGACAGAAGAAGTACGTGCAGACGAGGTGGCAGGCAGGCAGTGCAGGGCAGCTCTGAGGCGGACCCTCTGGGCGGCGGGGGAACACAATATTCTGAACCACTCACCAGGGTGGGCACCAGCAAGGCCCTCGTCCTCCTCCAAGTCACCCAGCATCTCTGCACCCAGCTCCACTTCTCCCTCCGGCTGGCCAAGGACCTCTGGGTTGAAAACAGCACAGCATGAGCGAGAGGAGAGAAAAGCTCATCACACTCTGGTCAACTGCATGCAAATAGAGTGACTGCCGGCAGGGAATCGACGCTACAGCTTCCAGAGAAGGGTCAAAGGCTACTGTCCCCGTCACCTTCCCCTAGTGCTTTGGGAAAATGACACAATTCTGGCCAGGCAGTGGCTGAGGTGGTGCCTCTACTGCCCGTCGCGCGGAGCACTAGGCCGAGGCAGCAGGCTCACAGCCCGGCCCTGCACCAGCACCCCCTGCGCCGCCCCAGCATGCGGCTGACGCCTTGCCAAGACTCTCCAGGAATCTAACTTCGTCCGTGCTGAGATACTGCCAGGTAAGGAAGCACTGTGACAGACACGGAAGCCGCCCCAAGGACAGCGTGTGGCCCAGCTGAGCTCACAGTCACCTCTGGCCCATTTCAACTTCCCTCCCCTCACTCTGGCCTCCTTGGTACAGTGGCATCTCAGTCCACAAATGCTTTTGTTCGCGAACAACTTGGCCCACAAACAAAAGCATTTGGCAAAATTTTGTTTTTGTTTGCAAACTCTGCGCTGGGTGACAAACACGACCACAGCCGTCTTTCCTGCACAAACACAAATGTGGCCATCTGTTCCAAAATCGTGTAACAAATTAAGTTTTTGAACCAAGGCACCACTGTAGTTCTCCATGACCTACATTTTAGAAGATTTTATCCAGCAACAAAATGCATTTCTTATGTCATAGGTAGTTGTTTACACAAAAAGATTTAGACAAACTACATAGCACTTCTGATCTACACAAAATGAATCCTGAGACAGTGACTGGCTCTGACTCCAGCCAAAGGCCAAGAGAAAGGGCTCAGCTGGCTGTGCACCAGTGGAACCTCACGTAGTGAATGTTCGCAGGAGGTGATAGTGTGTAGAGGAGAAACGCAAGACACCCTTCCAAAGTCTCCGTCGGTGGAAGGATCGGGAGACACCCACTTCTCCCAGCCAGGCGAAGAGAGGAGCCAGGGCCTGTCAGGGCCACAGCCACTGGGCAGGAAGGGCAGGGAACTGGGCAGGCGCAGGGCGGGAACACTCACTCAGGGAGACCAGCGCCTCATAGTTGCTCTGCATGACGTTCCTGTAGAGCTCCTTCTGCCAGTCCGCCAGGTTCTCCCACTCCTGCTCGGAGAAGCAGAGACCGTCGTTCTCGAGTGCCCTGGACACCTGAAATCACAAACAGCGCCTTGACAGCACCGGGAAGGCCAAGCCAGCGATTTAGGACCTTGGGCCTCTTCCGGCCCAACTTTGAGTGCTCAGGGAGCCTACCTTGGGGGCCTCGCCCTTGCTCCCCGGGGGCAGCCGCAGCACCCAGAAGTTCCGGTTGCGCAGCAGGTTCTCCATGTTCTCCAGCCGCCGCTGCAGCAGCCCGTACTCCTGCAGCAGCGTCCCCAGCACGGCCCACTTGCCCTCCAGCTGGTTGCCGAACTCCACGGCCGTCTTCTCGCAGTCGGCCAGCTTCTTCTCGGCCGTCCCCGTGCGGCCCTCCAGGCTCTGCAGCCTGGCAGCCTGGGACTCCATCTTCTTCTCCACAGCCTGGAGAGCAGCCACCACGGTCCACAGCGAGATCTCTGTGGTCTGGAAATACGGACTTTTCTCTGTTGTCTGTGAAGGCGGCGTGGAAGAGGTCAACGGTGTAGAGCGCCGCTTCCTCCTGTGCTGAGGATCAAAGGCACAGGGTCGGTCAGACAATGCCACTCCCGAACGCCAAGCCAAGGAAGCAATCCCACGCCGAATGGGAGGCGAGCGACCCTCCTCTTTCCATGGGGTAAGAGGCTGAGGAGAGCCCTTCCACCTCGTTTCTCCCTCGTCTGTTTTCAGTTATCTAGCATGATGGCAACAGCAAACGTCCATCAGCTCCTAAGTGAATAAGCTAATCGTGGTCCACTCATCTATGTGGTACGGGGTGAACTGTGGTAGCCTCAACAGCCGTATCTCGGAATGTGGCCTCATTTACAATGGGTTCTCTCCGGGGTAACCAAGATGTAATTAGATCATTATGGGGGCCCTGATCCAGTGGCCAGTGTCCTTATACAACAAGGGAAGCGTGGACACAGACACACGCAGATGATGACGGGAAGACACGCGGGCGCACGGCCATCTGAAGATGGAGGCAGGGACCCGAGTCCCGCTACCACCACCCAGAAATGCACACGGGGGCACCAGGAGCTCCCACAGGAGAGGCAGGAACTTCAGAGGAACCAACCCTGCACACACCTGGTGCTTGCACTTCTAGCCTCTGTGCTGGAAAGACGCTACAGCTCTGTTGTTGAAGCCAGTGTCTGTGATACAGTACTGCTACTGAGCCCTAGGAAACTAGCTCTCCACAGCAGAACACTACTCAGCAATACAAAACCAACAGAGCAGAGGCAACACATCTAAGCACAAGAAGCCAGACCCAAAAGCTGTACGATATAATCCACTTACATGACACTCAGAAAGAGGCAAAACTAGTGGGAGAAAGATCAGTGGCTATCAGGCACTGGGAGACAGATCCCAAGGAAGCACGAGGGAACTTTCTGAGACCATGGAAATACTCTACACCTTAGTCATTCAAAGGCTGTTCTTTTGTCAAAACACACCGAACTCTATGTATAGAGTACATTTTCCTGTATGTAAGCTGGAGCTCCGTAAGTAGGACCTAAACTGTCAAGGGAGAAAAAATGTTAGCTGTCAAAAAATACTATAAGCAAAGTATAAAAACAAACAGGAAATTCCTGTGAAGTAAAACAATAATCCCAAAGTAAAGCTGCAGACTAAATCATTCGTGAAAGAGACGTAGGCAATCAGAAGCGAATGGAAAGAGAGCCACCTCAGCAGTTAGGACTCTGAGCGCCTCCCAGAGAACCATCTTCCACCGTCAGACTGACACATGTAGAAGAGAGGAGGAAAGCCGGTCGGAGCCGCCGGACACCGACGCTGTCACAAAACACTCACCACCTCAGGGAAGGACATCTCTGAAGACTCATTAAAACTCCACTTAGGGAATCCCACTTAGGGAATTCATCTTACTGAAAGAAATGCCACTAGCATTTTACTGCATTCAAAGATGACTACTGGTTAACACTCTGAAATAGTCAAAATCTGGAAATAACTTAGATGTCTATTGCAGCAGCAGGACCAAGAATCAAACTCAGGACCTTGCACTTGCCAGGTAGGCGCTGCACCACTGAGCTATATCCCCGGTTCTAGATGTCTATTAATAAAGAAATGGCTACATAAATTATGGCACAACCAAAGACAGTATTGCACAAGCACTAAAAAGAGTTAAATATGGTTTGGAAAGTATTCACCCTACACTGATAGATGAAAAATCCAACTTTTTGCCAAAGTACATTTATTATTATCCCATTTTCCTAAAGACAAAGTGCAGGTGGGTGTGTTTGTTTCAGCACACAGAAAGGTTTGGGAAGATATTCACCACACCACTCTTACTATGGGCTCCAATTTCATGGGGAGGAGAGGGACAGATTTTACTCTGCCATCAAAAATTGTTATTCAGGCCGGGCGTGGTGGCACATGCCTGTAATCCCAGCACCTGGGAGGCAAAGGCAGGAGGACCGCTGCAAGTTCGAGGCCAGCCTGAACTGCATAGCAAGACCCTGTCTCAAAAAAAAAAAAAACTCAGGTTTTCAATAAACAAGATTCTTCTGTAGTGTAACGTTTTCTTAAATTCAATATTTAAGAATATTTCTGAAGGCAATGAGAATATACAAATAAACTGCTGACCGTATCTCTGAATTCTCTGGCACAGTCCTGTTTTGAATCTCATAAAGTCAAAGCATGGCCCAAACAATATTCATGTCATTACAGTTCGAAGACCCAACCACCATCAAACACAAAATACAGTCTCATTGCTAGGTGTGGTGACACACAACTGTAATCCCAGCACTCAAGAGACTAAGGCAGAAAGATTGCCATGAGTTTGAGGCCAGCCTGGGCTACACAGCAAGACCATCTCAAAAAAAGGAAATGACTATTTTATCAAGCAGAAAAACAAAAGGTGTGAGGGAGTGGTACATCCACTAGAATCTTGAAGGATGATGGACATGTTCTGTTTAATAAAATACTAAGGTTGTGCTAAAATCTATTCTGATGGTGAATTTTCCTGGTACCTCTGTCAATTTTGTTTTATGTATTTTGACATTATATAAATCAGTGCACATTTAGAAATATCACAAGAAGCTGATAAATTGAGGTTCCTACCATTGTAAAAGTAGCAGTAGGTTTCTATCTCTAGTCATGTTAATATACTTAAATCAACTTTTTACTAGTATTGGTCTGGTATAGTATTGTTATAGTAGGATTTTCTTTCATCCTGACAATATTTGCCTTTTAACTAGAACATTTAGATCATTTATATTTATTACAACTGTTTATTTTTTCCCTTTTTGTACTATTTATCCCTTCATTTTCTCTGTTGCCTTCTTTTAACTGTTTTCTTAATTCTCTGATCCTCCCTTCTAATTTTAAGTTATAGTGCTTGCTTTGGCAGCACATACACTAATGTATAAGTTTTATAGTAATTTGTAACATATAGTCTTTTAATAGTTATCCTAGAAATGTTTTTTTCTTTTCTTTTCTTCTTTTTTGGTACCAGGAATCAAACTCCAGACCTTGCGCTTGCCAGGCAGGTGCCTGTGCTGCTGATCTATATCTCTGCCCTAACCTAGAAATTATAGGAAGCATACTTAAAGACTTTAAACACGTGGACTTTGATCATCTCTTTCTTACTTCTACATCAATGTTGTCAAGTGTCCTCTCTTTGCTTTTAAATCCATAAGAAATTACTGCTGCTTTAGTCAGCTAGTATTTGTTTAAATTTACCCGTTTTCATAAACCACATTTTCTTACATTTTTAGACTTTCCACATGAGACGATTTCCCATTTACCTGAAGTATATCCTTTAAAGACTGTACTGGCTTTTTTTGTTGTTCTTTGAGACAAGGCCACACTATGTAGTTCAGGCAGGCCTTGGACTTATTGTGTAACCCACGCTGGCCTCAAACTTGCAGTAATCTTCCTGCATCAGCCTTCCAAGTGCTGCAATGGACATGGTACAGGCATGTGCTACCACATCTGGCTGCAAATTGTTTTATCTGATAATGTCTTTATTTTACTCTTGTTTTAGAAAAAGCTTTGGATGCATATAAAACTCTTGAGATTATAATTATGTACTTTCTTTCCACCCACTGACATTATCTGAAATAAGTTTGCCACCTTTCTGTTGAGAAGCTGGCCCACACTGTCTTACTGTAGTTCAAGTAAAAGTGACCTTTGGTGGTCTGGCTGCTTTTAAGAAGTCTGTCTTGTATTTTGTGCTTTCAGGATTATGTGTCTAGGCAGGGATTTCTTTTTATTGATCCTGATGGATATCCACCAACTTTCTATGTATTGGTATCAGTTCTACAATATCACCCGCCTTTAGCTACTCATCAAATACAGCCTCCAGTACAGTGCATGCTGCACGTCTGCCTCCTGGAATCCTGATGCGACAGATTAACTTTTCTTGTTCCATCTTCCTATCTCTCACCTTGTCATGCTTCCCATCTCTTTTTCTTACTCCGTGCTGCTTTCTGTATAATTTCTTTACCTCCAGCATTTCATCATGCTAAGTAAAGCTTTTCCAAAGCCTTTTAAATTTTAATTGTATTTTCCCTTCTTAGAATTTTCATTTGAGCTGGGCGTGGTGGCTCATGCCTGTAATCCCAGCACTCAGGAGGTAGAAGGATCGTTGCAAGTTCGAGACCAGCCTGGGCTACAAAGTGAGCTCAAGGCCAGCCTAAACTGCATAGCCAGACCCTGTCTCAAAAAGACAAAAAAAAAAAAAAAAAAAAATCTAGGCAATAAACCCACATCCTCACACCCATCTCTCAATGCCAATGTCAGGCAAGTTTTTGTTGTTTTGGGGTTTTTTATAATAACCTAGGGAAAAGAGTTCACTTTCAGTTCATCCTTAGAACACTGGCCTTTGAACCCTCGGCTTTTATAGGATAGGAGACTTCTTAGATGCACTACCTTCGGTTCTATTTGGTTCTTAGGTCTATTTGCTGGGTCACCAAAATATATATTCCGAAAACCCCTCACAGTTGGCATGAGAACTCCACTTACCTCTTACGAGTTCCCTCTCTCATTTAGTTCTGAGTCTCCAAGTACTCCTTACTGAACATTTCAAATATATTTATGTAGGTTTTTTCCTCAGCATTTTTATTGTTTTCACCACTGCACTACTCAGTCTAGAAACACAGACCCTCATCTAAAGAGACTGTCTGAAAACAGAAACATGCTCAAGAGCGGTCTGGGTGGATCTTTAAGACTTCCTCTCAACAAAGTCTGTTGGTGACATAAGTGACCGTGGAATGACCGACCCCCAAGCAACAAGCGCTCTGACAGGGTCCTCCTCCCCTTCTTGTACTGTTCTGGTCTTGAGAAAAAGCCGTCTTTGATTTGAGCTGCTTAGCTTAAGGGAGTCAGAGAAGGAAAACACTGCAGACATCTGTGTCTTGTCTTCCCAATTTAACTGCTATCTTGTTGGGGTTTTTTGTTTGTTTGTTTGTTTGTTTTTTCCTGTACCAGGAATCGAACTCACGACTTTGCACTTGCCAGGCCGGCGCTGTGCCGCTGAGCCGCTGAGCTAAATCCCCAGCCCCTCTGAACTGCTATCTTAAAAGCAAATGCTGGGCTAAGTCAACCAACCCCTCCGGTACTTTTTATCTACTTCCTGTAAGATTCAAATACAGTGCACCCCGCTCGTGGTAAAGGAGCGCCTCCATCCTCCATTCTCACCAAGGACCTCACGTGGATCTGAAAGTGTTTCTGGTTCAAAAACAGCCAGCGCGAGAACCGATTCAGCTGCATCTGCCCTTCCCACAGTACATTCTCTCGTATTATTACGGTAACCACAGCTCTGGAACTGCAGGAGGATGTGGGAGCGGGCAGGAGCCTTAGAGAACTGCCACCCACTAACCTAACACTCCTAACCCACACTTAAAAGAAACAGAGCCCCAGAGAGGAGAAGTTCCCCGACCCCACACCCCGGAGACGCTCACACCAAGCTCCAGGGTCTAGATCTTCCCAGGAAAAGGACGGCGGGGAAGGAGAACGCTCCACGGCTTCGCGAACAAAAGCCAGCCACTCCACCGCGGTGACAGCGCAGGACCCCGCAGAGGAACCCGCGCCTGACTTCGCCCTGGGCTGCGAGCCGAGGGCCGAGATCCGCAGGCGCGGCAGCGGCCGCAGCAGGCGAGCGGGGGCCGGGGTCTCGGGACCGGAAACGGGGTCTCCGTGCACACGACCGGGAGAATGGGGGGCATTCTCGAACCCGAGGACGGGACACCGGGTCTGCGCAAGTTACCCGGCGAAGGCGCTGCGCGCGATGTGCGCGGCAGCGGAAGGAAAAGGGCGGCGGCGCGGGGCGCGCGGGGAGACACGGGCGCCCGCCCGGCCGCGGCAGCCGGGAAACCGAGCTCCGACCCAGTCCTCCGCGAAGCCCCGCCCCGGGCAGCGGCGCCGCCACTGCGAACGCCGTCCAGCCCCGGCGACAGCCTCCTACCCGAGAAGGCGCCGGCTCCGCCATGGCTCCAGTCGCTCCTCAACGCCGGGCCCGCCGACAGCCCTCGCGCAGCCTGCCAGGCCGCCCCCGCCGCCGTGTTGATACAAAGTGCATTCTGGGAGCCGGGCCCTCCGCCGCCCAAGACGGCCCCGCGCGCTCGTCCCACCGCGCAGGATTCCCATTGCGCCCCCGTGCGGCGGGAGGGTGAACTGCAGCTTGGGACTCCAGGTAGTGTGGTTGAAAACGTGGCTGAGATCGCAAAGTCGAGGGCAGGTTCTGAATTTCTGGCAAGCCCGAGGGCCTTTGCTGTGTCTTCTACGTGCCCAGCACTCTGCTAAATGCTTTGAGGGATTTAAAAATGTGTAAAACTAAAAAATAAAATAAAATAAACGAAAATGTATAAAACGACTGCTCAGAAGCAAGAACATGTAACCTCGCTGAGGATTTGAGATATGGTCCCAAGTAGCAACTTGTTTTATTCCAAACACTTACCTCGTTTTGTGGCTTTTCCATAGCAACAGTGTAGGGTCAGGGGCCCAGGGCAACCCACTAGAGTCTATTAATTATGGTAATAAAAGCAGCTGGAAAATCCACCATAGCCTTGATTTCAGATAATCAACCCCGTCCTCGTGCTTCCTGTTAAAAGATGCGTGCGGAGTTTTGATGTGGAAAGCATGGCCACGTTATCATTCGATCGCCATGTATTTCAAACTCAATACTAGCACCATTACCACAACCCACTCACCCCACTGGTACTACTTTATCCTTCTACAAACAGCGAGAGACTGAAGTGAACTGCCGCCACCAACAAAATCAGGAGGTGCTTCTTCTGAGACTAAACTTTTCATTGTTTATTTTATTTTTGAGAACTAAACTTTAAAAAAAAAAATACAAGGTCTCAAATTGTAGTCCAGGCTGGACTTTGACTTATTATAGTGATCTTCTTGCCTCAGCCTACCGAGTGCTGGGATTACAGGCTTGCAACGCCCCGCGCAGCAAGAACTGCTAAAATCAGCAGAAAGTAACTCACTGAATTGGGTCCTTCTGCGCCGGTAGAACTCAGCTCAGCTTTTACTTCAGTAGACTCTCAGTCTCAGCATCTGCTAGAAATGCCTCCTAACATCTATCACTATCATTTTTGTTTATTCTCAGTTTGCATGTAAATTATCTGTGTCTCTTCCACTGAAATGTTTTTTCCCTGGAGCTGCCGTTTATTGTACTCAGAAGTACTCACAAGCATGTTTCAACGAGTGGTGAATGAGAGAGTGAGGAAATCATCTCTGAAGAAGCATGATTTCCAGGGCGACCAGACAGACAGAGCTTGACTGAATCATTAGCAAATCTAAAGGAAGAATAGGCCAGCCTGAGACTACTCAGCCACCCAGGGCCTGCCACGTTCGACCTTTCGCTCGCTGTCATCAGACACAGATGTCTCACATCCGTGGAGACACGCGGATTGGGACATAGGGCCCTGAGGCTGTCACGTAGTTCACCCGTCGAACTCATCCTTCTGCTCCAGCTCCAGCTCCCCAGGTGGCCATCTGATAATGCAAGTTCCCCCGCGGCTGCTAGGCGACGGCATGTGGGTCAGACAGATGCAACTGTCCAGCCACCCCTGGCAGATGTTAAATGGATACTCTAATTTGAACATTGGTCTCTTGAGAGTCAGCATGATGCAGCTGCCCTGCAGCTGAGCCTGGGACTCTGGAAAAGGCCTTAGATCGAATTTGCAGCCTGCCAGGGAGGCAGCACCAGGCCCTGGCTTCCAGTTGCCCCGGCTTGTAGAATGATTTAGGGAGGGGGAATGAGGGTTGCTAGATTGGACGCCGGGCAAGGCTTTAACTGCCTGGTTGTTATTATTATAGGGGAATAACAATAACCCTTAGCTCCTAGGGTTGTGTGGATTAAATTAGTGAATTGAGGCCAAGTTCTTGGAATAGCATCTGTCAGAGAGGAAGAGATCTAGGAGGGCTTGTGATCATTCCTCGTCCTCTTCCTCCTCCTCCACCACCACCTCTTCTCCTTCTTCTTCTTCTTCTCCTCTTTCTTCTTTTTTCCTTGGTTGTTTGAGACAAGGTCTTGCTATGTAGTCCAGGCTGGTCTTGAACTCACTATGTAGTCCAGCCTGACCTCAAACCTACAGTGATCCTCCTGCCTCAGCCTCCCAGGTGCTAGGATTATAGGCGTGTGCCCAGCCATTATCATTCTTTGACTCCAGCTCCTTCACCAGGTGGAGGGATTTATGCTCTGTCTTGTTGACCTTGTTCTCACTCAGAATGTGTGCACCTCATTCTGGGGTCATTATTGGATTGGAAGACATAATTTATATGAAGTATTTATGTAGCTGAGTGCCCAGCATACAGCAAGGACTCAAAAGAAGGTAACTTCTTATTGCTGCTTTGATTTTGCAGGATCCAAGCCTTGTATGGCACAATGAACTCACCAAGATAAATGTCAGTTTGTTGTGTCTCTAGCAGCCATCCATTTGTCCTTTCCCACTGACGCTTAAATGTTGACACATGCATCTTACAAGACTTCTAAATGTGATTTGCAGTTATCCCATCATTTGCAGTGGTAGTAGGAGAATCAAGAAAATAAACGCTCTTCCTACCTCTGTCACCATCTATAGATCTGTAGAATGACAGCGATCCTAGATATCATCTCATCCACTTTAGAGATGGAAAATTGCTAGGTATGGTGTTGCATGCCTGCAATCCCAGCACTTGGGAGGCTGAGGCAGAAAGATGGAAGGTTCAAGGCCCCCTTGAGCTACATGCAAATTCAAAGCCAGTGTGGGCTACATAACAGGATCCTGTCACAACCCTCCTCCAAAATCAAAAAATCAAAATCAATTGCCAAAAAAAAAAAAAAAAGAAGGACACAGAAAAGTCTGCAATGGAGACAAATAGTATAGATTAATTAAAAATTATACTTTCAAGCTGGACATGCCTGTAATCCCAGTACTTGGGAGGCTGAGGCAGGAGGATAGCAAGTTCAGTGCCAGCCTGGGCTATATAATGACCAGCTTGGACTGTGTAATGAGACCCTGTCTTTCAAAAACGTTTCTCTAATGCCTTAAACTTTATAGTGTATGCATGGTTTACAATTCACATATAAGCATATAGATGTGCATATCTACATGCTGAACTTTTGTAGTTAAGAAAGTGTATAGACCTATGGCTGAAATTCCACTCCATGATGGCTTTCTCTGTTCTGTCCCTCACTAACCTGCAAGTCTCCAGGTGGCAGGGACCACGGCTTGTGTTCCTCCCCTCAACTTAATAGCCCCCCACCACTAGGCTTCCAGGCCAGCAGGAATCCTAGAATGGACGTCCCTTGGCTCAAGGTGCATTCCCTGCTGCGTACACCTGTTATGAAACCCAACACCCACTGATATCACCAGTCTGCCATATGTCTCTTCCCCTGGGCATAGAATGTATGTCCCTCCTGCTGGGAAATGCTCCTCTCTAGGCTCCCACCACGTAATTCACATGTGTGCCGCCATCTTTGCATGTGACAACTTAAACCTGGTCACAGACTAAAAGCCCCTAACTCAGTCATAGCATCTGACCCTCTTGGCCATAGTCATTGAGCCAGAAGGGCCATGTGACCTCAGCTATACTGACATGAGCTCTTCCCTGAGATTCTTGTAAATGAGCTGAGGGAACAGACTCATTTCCTCTCTGAGGAGGCCATGACCCTGTTGGTCAGGAACAGTGCTGTCTTCCACGTCATCAAGTAAGTTGTTTGGAAGAATGATTCCAACATACGGAGATGCTCTAGAGACACTGTTATGTGGGTTCAGGATTGGCTGCTTGACTGTTCCTTTGAGTCTATGAATGGTTCTAGATTCCTTCCAGAAATTTCCTCATGCTCCTTGGTTGATCATCAACTTATACTGATTGCAACCAGAAATACTCTGATAACAGTACCATGGTCCTGTTTTCCAAACCCCGTGGAAGGACCCAGAAGGTAAGGGAGAGACAGGCATCAGTTGTGTGTGGTTTGGACATGGTCAGGACACAGGCCTATTTCGGAGGCCTGGGGAGGAAGCAATAGAGTATATCAGATCCATCTGTTTAATGAAAAGTACGCAAGCGCAAAAAGAAAACAGAGTTTTTAATGTACCGGTCAGGATGATTATCTAGACATCTGAAAAGGAAAAAAGCAAAGTGAAGAACAAGATATCAAAATATTACAGTATTATACCATTTCTGCCCCAAAAGGAAGTATTAGAACATATATGTGGTTTTGGTTGTGAGAACTGATAATTTTAATGCTTCTAGAGGAACTGTGTAACAAGAATTTTTTTGGCTTTTGTTTTTACAGGCAGGATCTTGCTGGTTGCTCAGCCTAGTCCTAATTTTCTGGGTTCAAGTGATCTTCCTGCCTCAGCCTCCTGAGTAGCTGAGACAATAGGTGTAGTCACCACACCTGGCTAGATTTTTTATTGCATATTCTTTTTCCACATTTTGAATTTTGAAGGTATTAATGTAAAATTTCTTCAAATCTTCATTAATTGATTGATTGGTTAAAAACTTGTATAAAATTCCTCTTAGGAAGAGAATGTTTTGTCTAGGCAGTTTTATTGGCTTTTTTGTTGTTGTTGTTGTTGAAAAAGAAGCCCAAAGGTTTGGCTTAGAAAGAAGGTTGGCAGGTAAGTCAAAATTACTCTTCATAAAATATAGGGTTCAGTGATTTCCCTGGATATCCTTGGAGAGAAGGGAGCTCAGAACAGAGGCGCAGAGCTGCTCCTCAGAGGCAGAGAGATACAAGATCAGAAAGGGTCGAGAGAGTGAACTCTGAGAAATCCCTGGTGGAGAGAATAGCTCGAGATTTTTTTGTTTTGTTTTGTTTTGAGACAGGGTCTCCCTATGCAGTTCACCTCACAGCCTAGGCTGGTTTTGAACTCACAATGATTCTCCTGCCTCAGCCTCCCAAGTGCTGGGATTACAGGCATGCACCACCACACCCAGCTTCAGGGTCTTTTAAGAATAGTGATAGCTAACGTTAGGTCCTTTGCTGTGGTAGGCTGAGATGAGACCCCCTCTTTGACTTTCAAAATATGTGCCTTACAGGGAAAATCAAGGGAAACCTGCTTACCTGTACCATCTGGGCTAATGCAGAGCGAGTCTTCACTAGCAGGCGGCCCTGTTGCATATTTTGTAATATTAACAGTCAGATGGACCAATAGGCGCAGGCTAGATACCTGATGTGAAGTTTCCTACTTTTGCTCCTTACCCGCTGCCGATACCCAGTAGCCAAGGACTAGATCTCAGACAGCTAGTTATGGTACCCAAACCCATGATTACAACATCATTTCCCTGCAGAGTTTACTTTTTTGATGGTGTCTGGCTTATCCCTGTCTTCCTGGCTTCTTTGCATGTTATGGCTTGT